GAGTTATGCAAGTAACAATGATATTTTACTTCTTATTTTAGTTACCTGTTTACACTAGCTATCTGTCATTTTTATTTTTATTCATTTTTATTTATGAGTAATCTCAGCAACTTCAAAATCATGTACTTGCATCTATCATAGTTACATCTATGTTTAATCAAAACTGCCCTAAATTATAAAACAGTTTTGCATTAATTCTTAACGTTCTCATAATACAGCTTCATTCCAAAAACTAATATACAATAATCTTCTTTTATTAAAAATTTTAATCTTATTCTTTCTCCAAAATGATATTGTTGTTTAAACATTATGGAAATATGTTCTTACAAGGATATATAATGTTGGGGTAAAGTTTTATAGTTTTTCTTCTATGATGCAAACTCAGTCCTCAGAAATATACGGTAAGTAAATATCATAGCAGTACATTTTTAAAAGATATAAATCTACTCAGTAAGCTAGCAATAATATCTCTTATTTAACAATTAACATCTCTTATTTGCTCTTTTTTTTCTATTAAATATAACATTGGAAGCATTTTGTTATATTGTATGTTTGATAGGTGCAAAAGAAAACCCTGTTAATCTTAGGGTTGCCACCTTATCCCTTAAAACCAAACACATAATAATTACACAGGCTCTGAGGCTAATTTAATTACCACCTTTATCAGCCAAAGAACCTGTATAATTAATATATGTTTGATTTTAAAGGGATAGGGTGGCAACCCTAGTAATCTTGTAAAAAATTCAGAACTGCTCTGTGTCCTCATCCTGTGCTATTCCAAAGAACCCTGTTCGCTTTTATCTCGGACTACAGAATGATTAGCCTTTAGGTTGAAGAGTTCTCAGAGTTTGAGTATTTTATCAAAAGACATTGAATGAGCTGACTATGCTCAGTCCGCAAAAAATACTGTGGGTTGACAGCCCAGAATAGGACTGAGTGCATTTCTGGCAGATTAAAACAGGATTTTCATTAGGTATCCTGAAGCAACAGATCAGGTCAGGAAATACCTCAAAGAGGAAAACTGTACCTAAAAACTATGGGCCTCCAACAAAGAAGAACCAAGTAACAGTGCACCAAAAAGGACTGGTGGAACAGTGCAACACCCAAAAGGTGGGAGAAATAGACCAAGTAGCAGTGAAGTCAATGGAAGAAATTAGAATATATCTCCAGTACCATATCATTTTTAAACCATCAAGGCTTAGGCCTAGCATGCCTGCACCTCGACTTCAAGTAAAGGAAAGTAAAGGAATAGGAATGTTTAGATAAAGTTTAGGTAGAGAGCTTCTAGGGCTTAACAGGATAATCCTAAACAAGGAAGAAAAAAAAAAACTTTCAATAGTACTACCCAGGATAATTTAATAGGGAGAGGATAGGAAAATCAACAACCCTCGTGTAAAAAAGGGGTTAGGCAGGGATAACAGTGTGAACTCAGAATCGTTCAGGATATACTCAAAAGAGGTGACTCTTCCTCTGAGAAGCAAAGGTGTAGGAGAAACTAAGGAATTTTCCTCAGAGGATTACAGCTAAAATAACAGAAGAAAACATCTCTACACAAGTACCACAAGGGACCTTAGAGATTATCTTATCCCCAAAGGAAACCATAGTAGGGTAACAAACTAAGTATGCCTCTTCAGGAGGAAGAAGTGGGACATACGAGAAAACCCCTCACTGACTATAGATATTTAGCTAGCTGAGGGAATAAAACTAAAGCCTAGACATCTGTGTGGGTGCGAAGGTCTTTCAGAAGGGAGATCAACTACCAAAGTTGTAGTGGCCCAACACCACCAACTGATGTCAGCATTCATTAAAATGAACCTGATACGGTTCCATACAACACAGAAAAATACATAAAGTATAAGTGAAGCAGAAGAGATTTTCTGGGAGAAGAGAGACTTATGGAACAAAGGGCCTTAGAAGAGGATTTGTCAAGTGGTTTTGGTAGATTGTCCTTGGGATATTCGGATTCACTCCTCACCCTCCTTCCCATTTATTGCAGTTAAAAAAAAGAACTGTTTATTCTTAAACATAATGGAATTGCTTTACCAAAGATAAATGCATTGTTCACCTTGCAAGGGAAATTGCACTCTGCACGGGAATTATCTCTAGAGCTTAATGAATATGGTGAAATTTCACTTTGCAAAGAATACACAATCACATGCAAGGAAAATGAAAAAAAAAATCAGCATTTTTGCTTGCATATGTATGGATGATGGAAATCAGCAGTGATTCATCTTTAAAGTGGAGTTCCACTCACTCTGTGAAATAATAAAAGTCAGTAGCTCAGTAGCTACAAAAACTGTAGCTGACTTTTAAAAAACAGCCACTTACCTGTCCCACGATCCAGTGTTGCCCCTGCCACAGCACGTTTCACCGGCCGTCCTGTGTTCCAGGTGCCAGCATCTTCAGTGTGGGCACCCAGCTGTGACAGCTTGCGGCTTCACGGTGCCCACTGCGCATGTGTTTTCTGAATGGCCCCGTTGTCTTCTGGGACCTGTCACGTGTCCCACAAGACAACTTTCCGATCGCCTAGGCGATAGCAGCGGAAGTGGGAGCGGGTACCTGCCAAATTCGGGTACCCGTTCCCCCCCCGCTCCCCAAAGGTGCCAATCCTTAATGGGGAGCGGGGGACCAATCTTTAAAGTGGAACTTCCCCATTTGTGTCGAACTCCGCTTTCTACTTTAACTATTTCAGGACACATGGTTGTCCAAGCAGAGCTGTCCAGAATCTGAACTTAAATATTTACTGTCTCTTCTGGAGACTGCACAATATGTTGGAAAAAGTCAGTGGTAAAAATACTAACTATTCAGGATTTCTCCTTTTTATCTTCTTCCACAATACCTTGAATGGCATCAATTAAAATGTTCTCTAAAGAAAAAAAAAGTTATAATACTTCTCATGTTATTAAGTAAGTCATTTCATGATATAGTGATAAATCTTTCTCTTTACTGAAAGCTTCATCCTTTCCCTCTCATCTGGTATTTTCTCTTTATATGCATGCATTAATCACTCCAACCCTAAAGAAATCATTCCTTTATATTCATCTCCAGCGAGCCATCAACCACTATAACCCTAAAGAAATCATCCCTTTATATTCATCTCTAGCAAGCCATTGCCCTTTTTTCAACCTCTGTTTTGCCTCCAGCTTTAATGAATGATTCGTCTGTGTTTGCTAAAATCTCTGTCCCTGCCCTCATTCTCAGACATGCACCTAGTATTTCACAAAGACTGTCTAAAATAAAATCTATATTTGATGCCCATTTCTATGGGGAGGTCATCTTGTAGGACTCTTTCGGGGGAGGGTATACTTTATAAGAAAAAAAAAAAGAAAGAGACCCCTGAAGCACATAGGGCTAGCACTATGGACAATGTTCCCAACCATTTGAACCTTTTTCATTCTTTAACTGAATGACTTATTGTATAATATTGCCTGTTTGGTTCCCCTCTTCCAATAATTCACTAATGGCAACACAAGGAAACTTCTTGTATCCTTTAGCTTTTCTGTACTCACTGATTGACAAGTTGAGGAGGAACTGTGCCCAAATAGGAGAACTATAAGGAGGGAAGTATATATTGGTATAAATCAGTGGCGATGAAGCTGCTACAAGGCTTCCCTGGGGCTGCAAAGTCAATCAGTCTTACTTATTAAAGTGTTACTAAACCCACAACAGTAAAATCAGACTGTATATACAGTAAAGCATGCTTGTTATACTCACTGTGGAACCTAAAGGGCTAATCCTCTGCATTGTGTAAAAAGGCAGTTTGATCCTGTCTTCTCTGATCCTCCCCTTCTTTTGCTGCTCCCAATCCCTCTTAGTTAGAGCAGCAGTGGCAAGTCTTCACATGCTCTGTTTGGTGTGTATTGCAAGAGAGTTTTCTTTTCTTTTGGGAGGGTGCATATGATCAGCACAGGGCCAATCAGCGCTGTCCAGAAAGAGGGTCAAGGGTTATGCAGCCTCATAGGACAGTCAGAAGAGAATGAAAACTCCACCTACAAGATTAACCAGTGCTCAGCTGGGCACTGATAGAAGTCACAAGATTGCTATATACTGCTGATGAAAAATGCATTTAGCAGTTTATATTTACTAAAATAATTACATATCTATGTTCTGTGTACTGTGGAAGACCAGATATAGTGAATGCAGGGTCCTGGGTTTAGTAACACTGTAAGCTAAAGAATGGTTTTTGACAATACAGTATATGCACTAAGAAAAATAAATTTTTCCTGGAGTATGTGTACTAGATCCTCTTCTCAAGAGTTCCAAGTCAACATTGAGACCCCTCATCTGAGTCAGTTGACCTCCCACTGATTGCCTAAACTTAAACCTCTACCTTTAACCTCTACCCTTTAGAGCTATTGCTCTATACATTGGATACTGTCAAAAGTTAAAATGTATAGTGTATATTTTTGACATATTTGCCTATTCATGAAGCCGCCCTTGGAAATTATCCTTTTCAGTTTTATCATATATCAACACAGTAACTCAGTATAGCAACTTGGAATAGAAAAATATTATAAACTATTATAAACTGGGTTTAACCACTAGCCTGCAGGGCACTTATACCCCCTTCCTGCCCAGGCCAGTTTTCAGCTTTCAGCGCTGTCACACTTTGAATGACAATTGCGCGGTCATGCAACACTGTACCCATATGAAATTTTTATCATTTTTTCAGACAGATAGAGCTTTCTTTTATTGGTATTTAATCACATCTGGGTTTTTTATTTTTTGCTACACAAACCAAAAACAACAAAATTTTGAAAAAAACACGTTTTCTTAGTTTTTGTTCTAAAAATGTTTAAATAAGTGATTTTTCTCCTTCACTGATGTGTGCTAATGAGGCTGCAGTGATGGGCATTGATAGGCTGCACTAATGGGCACTGATAAGTGGCACTGATGGGCACTGATGAGGAGGCACTAGTAGGCGGCACTGATGGGGATTGACAGGCAGCACTCATATATGGCACTGATAGGTGGCACTGATAGACGGCACTGACTGGCACTGATAGGTGGCACTGATGGGCACTGATATGTGGCACTGATTGGCACTGATAGGTGGCACTGACTGTCATTGATAGGTTGCACTGATTGGCAGCACTGATAGGTGGCACTGACTGGCATTGATAGCTAGCACTGATAGGAGACACTGAAAGGCAGCTCAGATGGGCACTGATATGTGGCATTGATGTGCACTGTTAGGCACTGATATGTGGCATTGATGTGGCATTGATGGGCACTGACAGGTGGCACTTCTGGGGCCACACTGATCATCAGGGCACACTGATCATCAGTGCCCTGATGTTCAGTGTACATGTCCCCTCCAAGGAATGTCGATTACCGGCTCTCCTCTCCTCACATGCTGTCAGCGTGACAGCTCGTGAGGAGAGAAATGCCGATAACATTTCCCTATTTACATGCGATCAGCTGTAATTGGACACAGCTGATCACATGACCGAGCCGACAACTTCAGCTCTTACCGTCGATCGGTGATCCGCTGTGTCCCAGGGGCACAGCACACCACTGATCACTGTGCATGCGCGGTTAGACTGGGAGGACGTCATATGATGTCCTCCTAGAATGAGAGAACCGCCTTGCGCCATTACACTATATGGCGGGTGGGAGGTGATTAAACCAGACAGGATTCTGTGTTAAAAAAATCTAACTAAATCTGGGTACACACATGCCAAAAATTGTCTGAAAACAGTCTGTTCAGCAGGAACCGGGCGACTTTCAGTGTACAGCTCCTTGTCTGACAAAAGCCGGTCTCATGAACTACTTCTGTCGAATAACTCAGCAGGGAAGATAATTGCATTAACATCAAATGTGTTAGTACGGCGATCTGTAATTTTTTTTTCATTCAGCCCACTGGGTTGAAAAAAAAAAACTTCCTGTGTGTACCCAGCATTAGTGCAAAGAAACAAAAAGTAATAATTTTTAAGATGTTCATCCCCACATCAGAAAATTTTGAATCTTGAGTGCAAAAATGTGAAAAGAACACAGTAACGTATTTATAAAAGTCAGGGGAATCCCTGCACATTCACGCACAATACAGCATAAAATTTTTCATTTTGTTTTTAGAACTGTCTCATTTAAAGGCTTATATCTTACTGTTCTGTAACTTCACATGCAATTTTAAAACATTTGACAAGCATATTATATAAATGTTTTGTGTATTTTTAATGTTCACCTGTAAGCCCCATTTAAAGACCCATTCACCTCTGAACAATATTTTTATCACATTTTTACATTGGTACATCATGCCCATCATGGAAGTGCCTATCTACTCAATTTTTTTTAAATGCTTGTGAGTAAATCTTGAAACAAGGCCAAAAAAAAAATCAAGATTTGCTTGCCCTAAACTTTAATGTGATTTGCTGTTATGTTCACAGACTTTCTGCCAGTTTCATCAAACCTCTGACAAACCAAACTTTGCCATGATCTTTTGCCTTAAATTAAGTGAATAATATTGTTTATTAAGGATGAATAAAGGGTGAATCTTGGGTAATTGTGAGATTCAAATATTATTAAATATACCACTAACAAACACTGGTTATACCATTTAGTAGCAATACTATAAATAAAATGAAAGTTCAGTTTTCCCTTCAGTGCCTTTAAATGGACAAAAAATTGTTAAATTGATAGGTAGTCCCAACTTTGTATTTAACTTTTTTGATGAATATAAAAGACACAAAAAAGTAGTTACATTGACGTAAAGCACCAAAAATATATGTTTCACTATAAGTAAGTTAGTAGTCTTTTCTTTTTAAAATGTAGTCACAATGTTTGGATAGTTCTAATGAAGCCCAATGCAGTCATTATCAGTATGAGAAATGGAGACAGTTTTTAAAAAAATATATTAAAATGATTCACTTCTAATGACATTCTTTAAAACCACTAGAATTTCACATACCTTTTCTGCTATGTACATTAACTATTTCTTGCCAGGTAAAAAGGAAAGAAGTATTGCTCCTAAACATTGCAGAGGGTGTCAACAGGCAATGAAAACTTACATTGGAAAACATATAGTTTTTTAAACATATGCTTTTTTTTCATTTCTAAAAACTATAGACTTTGTATACTTGGTGTAGCTAGATAGTCTTATATTACTAAAGCATCTTAAGTAAAATTTACTTTTTTTATAACTTAAAAGGAAAGTCTGGGTTAATAGAGGGAAATTGTCCATATTGATTATTTGGGGGAGCAGCGCCATATCAATAGGACCACGTGGACCCAAACTAGCCTTGTATTTCTGGGATGGTTGAGAAAATACTGTTAAGGTCAAAGTGCAGAGAACTGTGCACACAGATAATTAAATCCACATTTATCTATCATAATATCTAAAAAAGACAAATATTAACACGCATGCAAGCATTTGGGAATATTAACACGCATGCATGCATTTGGGAATTTTCCTCTCAGTTCCTGTTGTGTATCTGGGACAGGAAGTGAAAGGAAATCTATCCAATGGTACACAGACAGCCAAAATAATGGGGGTTTACCATTTTCTATTCTATTCAAAAATAAAAAAAATTATTATACAAATACTTTAACTTTTCAAAACTACACAATGATGTAGTATTGGTCTGTTTGGTTGTTTTCATCATAATCTACTGAAATACAGGTTCCCTTTTAATCTATTTTAATATACACTGCTCATAAAAAAAATAAAGGAACACTTTTTAATCAGAGTATAGCATCATGTCAATTAAACGCCTGGGATATTGATCTAGTCAGTTAAGTAGCAGAGGGGGTTGTTAATCAGTTTCAGCTGGTGCACTAGATGGGCAACAATGAGGCATTCCCCAAAACAGGAATGGTTTTACAGGTGGAGGTCACTGAAAATTTTTTCCTTACTCATCTTTTATTGATACCACTGAATGGCCCCACGCTTGCCTGACCTAAATCCAATAGAACACATCTGGAATATCATGTTTTGGTCCATCCAACACCGCCAGGTTGCACCTCAGACTGTCCAGGAGCTCAGTGATGCTCTGGTCCAGGTCTGGGAGGAAGTACCCCAGGACACTGTCTCATTAGGAACATGCCCTGACATTTTCAGGCATGCATACAAGCATGTGGGGGCCATACAAACTACTGAGTATCATTTTGAGTTGCTGCAATTAAATTTCAGAAAAATGGACTAGACTGCTGCATCATTTTTTCACTTTGATTTTTGGGGTGTCTTTGAATTCAGTCCTCTGTAGGTTAATAATTTTCATTTCCATCAAATGATGGGGCATCTTTATGTTCCTAACACATTACCCAGTCCATATCAGTACAGATATCCAGCATGATATTTATAACTCATGATAAGCCCTATATGGCACAATTAATTTAAGGTTATTGCATGAGTTAAGTCAGTCACATATCGCATGCGATACTGAAAATGTCAATTAACTATTGCTAGTGGTATTTACAGAAAATAGCAAAAGTAATTGAAAAAAAAAACAGGAGAGAGTCTTTGACAAGTCCTTTATTAAAAGAAGAAAAATAAAAAAAATGTCCCCTGAAGTAGATCCAACATCAATAACGGTGTCCGCCCAGACTCGAAAAAAGAAAAAAAAAATGCTCCGCTCTCTGCGCTGGATCCCGCCGTCTGAAAGCTCCACTGGCCTGACATTTCTTAAATATCTAAGGGGTGGGGCATCCTGGTGACATTACCCATGTGACCCCACCCCCTTGTGACATCATTGACTGAGGCATGCTCTCTCATGCGGATCTACCTCGGGGGACATGTTTTTTTATTTTCTCTTTTAATAAAGGACTTGTCAAAGACTGTCTCCCGTCTTTTTTTACAGTACACTTTTTGTTTTTGTGAATGAGTAGTGTGACAATCGTGAAGTCAGACCCCAGCCCTTCTCACCAAACTTGTGACCGAAGGACTAGCCAATCTAAAACCGCGCTGTCACGTGCGTAACAAGGCCACGCCCAGCTGCACCCTGCACACAGATTTTCCAGCTAATGGACCACAACCTGTGTACCTGCAGCCTGAGAGCGATTTTACTGGGTCAGGTTAATTACGCAATTAACCCTGCACACTGTTACCACCTCCTTTTTGTACAGAGAAAGAGGAAACTTGGCAATATTAGCAATAACACATATTATGTTTGCATATGCACATCTGTATACCACTGTCACCACAGGCAGGTTATACAGAAGTTTAAAACACACACACAGTAGCTTCTTCAGAGGCAGGGGTTCTTAGTTTGCATTAAAGAGCTTTAGAAACAGTTCAACACTTTCAGAAAGTAAGATTCATTACTAAAAGGTCAAAAGATTGCAATAAAAATATTTACAGAAAAAGATATAGCCATATATATATATATATATATATAAATATACAAATAGCAATAGCACAGCAAAAGAGATAACAGATAGACGTTTAGAGGGATAAAGTACTTGCCGTCAGCCTTGGTTTTAAGCAGATCAGGTTTCAGAGCCAAAAAGGATGCCTTATCTCCCAAAGTTAGTTCCGATGTTAAAAGGGAGAATCTTCAACTTAACTCAACTTAGCTTTAGCTTAGCTTTTCTAGGAACTCAGCAGGTGTCTCCTTAAAGCAGAGAACCAATCGCCTCATTTGGGGAGGGAGTTGTAGATGGGGAGCTCAGGCTCTGACCAAAGCCCTCAGAAATTATACTTTGGTCAATAACTTTTCCTAGGTACATGTAACATTTCACCCACGGGTAGATTAATATGCAGAATCGTCTGCTGAACGTCTACATATGAAATATGCCATACCTGCTGGGAAGGTTAAGGAGATATTATTTTCTGCTCTCTTGTTGATCTCAGCTAGGGGATGTAATATATCAAACGATTTGTATTAAAGTGAGCCATCCGAATATCAGCTCCATGTTTGTGTAAGTCTTTCATAATCCAAGATATGTAATAATAGGGGAAAATGGATGTTGAATGTGGTGTCTGGTTTACTGTTTATCTGGAATGTCTTTGAGCTCAGTGAAGGACTTGATTTATGGCTTTACGATATCCCAGATTGAGAAGTTAACAGACATCTAGGCCCCAGCTCGGTTTGAATTTTATAGCTCTCCCACTGGGGCCTGTTGCCTTTTTAACGCAGACCACATTCCTGAGGGAGGGGGGAAATTGGAGGAGGAAGCCTGCTTTGGGAGTAGACATGATACAAGATGTATCCCCTCACAACTCCTACGACCTCCCTCCTCCTCCATCCTACGCTCCCTCACCCACATCTTTAATCTCTCCCTCTCCTCCGGCACTTTCCCCTCCCCTCTGAAACATGCACACATCACCCCCATACTTAAAAAGCCCTCCCTGGACCCCAATGACCCGAACAACCTTAGACCCATCTCCCTGCTCCCATTTACATCTAAACTCCTCGAGTGCCTAGTCTACACCGGCCTA